TTCACCTGTTGGTCAACAGTATGTGAAAAGCTACTTACTTTTTCAGTACTTTAGTGCGAGTTGTTTGGGTCTTAGTATCTTTGCTATTGCAATAATTACACTACAATTCTGATGTAGAAAAAAAGCCTTTTTTAAAATTGGAACAGCTTGAATACTATGAACCGATGTTGTTCTATCTCCTTACAGTAGTCCAGCAATAAATGCTATCTTTGTGAATTTTTGTTGAGTTAACTTTATGGCAATTGTTTTATTTTGTTGCAAAAAGCAACACCATACAACACTGGCAAAGGGCCATAAAGTTGAACCAACACATTTTTGTGTCTCAACAAAAGTATAACTTTAAATTTATGCTTAATTCGCCTTGCTCAGGTGTCCATTCTAGGTAAATGCACAGAGAAAAAACATGTACAGTATTATAGTAGTAAAGTTCCTTGTGGTGGCATCACTGGATATCACATGTCAGCAATGTTTGGCGAGACCCAACGTAGGAGTGTCATGTTCTGCTTGTCTCTAAATAAAGAGCCTAAGGGTGACCTTAACTTCATCTCTGTCACAGTCAGCCAAAACGGCTGCAGTACAGTCAGACACCACAGATGGAACCGGCACATTGGAAATGCCTCTCGTCACAGACGTCTGCCCAAAAAGAAACTGAGCTGGCTCACTGTCTGATTTAAGGTCTAGCTACTTGGCATGTCAAGACAGATCACCATGAGACTTACTGTGAGACAAAGATCCGGTGCATTGTTTATGTAATTTAGATTGCACTGTCCACTCTCATGTGAACGCTGACAGCTGTCTGTGCTATTTTGTCAAAACCACAAATACAGTTTGGCACCAACAGATAAAACATTTCATCTGTAGTGTAGACACCACAGTTAGTTACATGCAGATAGTTCTAAAAGTTGTAACAGGAAAAGGGTAAAATAAAAACGTTAAAGGCAAGCAATGTTCACCCAGGCTTTTTGTGTCCACTGTGTGGTTACCTGAGGTAGTGTTGTCCATGTTTGCAGTGAGGTTGTTATAGGCGTCATGTTGTTTTGCATCATGCAGAGAGTGACATTTACTTGTACTTAAGATGTGGTGGTTTTCCTTGAATTTGTTAAAGGTTCAGTCATTTTTAGTTTGTCCCCTTAGGTTGAGTTGGTTCACTGGATGTGGGGGGAAAAAAAATAGATGTTTTACATCTGAATACACAGGTTACTGGTTCGACTGTTAGGTGTTTTTGATGAGAACCTTTTGGTATATTGCATTACATCTACATTTAATGAAATAGTTTTATTTTCACATCATGCCGGTGTTGTAAGAAGGTTCTGGGTTCGAGCCCCTGCTGGCCCAGTGCATTTCTGTGTGGAGTTTGCATGTTCTCCTTGTGTCTGCGTGGGTTCTCTCCGGGTACTCCGGCTTCCCACAGTCCAAAGACATGCAGCTCAGGTTGACTGGTGACTCTAAATTGCCCGTAGGGGTGTGTGGTTGTTGTTGTTTTTTTTTTTAATACTAAGTGTTCTTTCTGCCTTTTGGCTCCTTACCTGGCTCCAAAGGAGAGCTGCACAAGAATTCCTATATGCCTAGACTGTCTGTTTATGCCTCAATGGCAAATAAAAATCTTGACTTGACTTGTCTACATGTCAGCCCTGTGACCGACTGGCGACCTGTCCAGGGTGGACCCCAGCTCTATTCAGGAACAAAGTTGTATAGATAATGGATGGATGGTTGACAGTGGTGTAACAGTGCACTTCCAGATATGACCACATGAGGGCAACAGAGTGTCACTACAGCAGTTTGCATTTAATGAAGGAAATGTATGAATGCTAGGAGCTGTTGCTGCTGGTTCATGCACCTTTTACCTGTGCCACATGGTTCATAGGTTATTAGCCAAAAGTCAGTTTAGGGCTACTGTACCCTGAGCACCAATAGAAATTTCTGGGGAACAAAAACACCCTTAAAAGTAAATATGATGCTTCAAGATTTACACTGAATAGAGATTAGTGAAAATTCAAAAGCAGAACATCAGAAGCCAGTAGGAACTGAAATACTGCAGGATTTTTTTTTCATGACAATAAAATGAGTCCAGGTTAATTCCCTTGTTGTTTTTATGTTGGATGTACATGTGATGTTTGGTAATTTTCAGTTTACACTTGAGTGATGAGAGCACGTAATGGAATCCAGTATACTGTATCTATTATTTTGTGTATGCTCTGGCTTCTGTCATGCAATTTAATTCAAGCAGGAGGAAGTAACAAGACAGAAAGAAAGATGCCATGTGACAAACGGCGTCACCCAAACTCACATGACAAATAGATGATATTCTGGTTTTTCTTTCAGATTTTTGCCTTTCTGATGTCTTTCACAGTTTACATACCATCATTCACAGCATCGATTCTCACAGGGACACTGTCCTCTCTCCTGCGCCCTCCAAAAGGCATGATCAGTGAGGGGTCAGTGTGAGCAGCGCAGACTAGTGATGGCACAGGCATGTGAAGTGGTGCTTTCTGACTTTGCCACCTTGTTGCTCCCAGAATGTATTGGCAGTTTTGCACAAAAGTTTTAAATACTCAACCAGGATGTATTTGCTATAAACACACTAATAATATATTTACAATATGACCTACAGGAAATAGTCCGTATTCAGCAGTAATTGACTTATTATTCTGATAATGTACAATTGCAGATGTAAACAGACCCATGTCGGGGCCCTGGGTACTTAGCTCCACTCTTCCACTCACTGCTACACCAAGAAAAGAGAACTGGTGTTATAGAGAACCTTTTCTGTGTAACTGTTTCTCTGAGCAGATCTGTCTCATAGACCACATAGAAAATAGATACTTTATGCCTTATATCCCCAGTGCAGAATTTTCATAAACCCATACTTTGAATGCAGCAATAATCAGTTTTCCTCATTTCTTTGTTTGAGTTTCAGGCCAGTGTTCATATGAACATTATTTATATAGGATGTTTTTGTCTCTGTGTTACTGATGTCGCTTTATATCATGTGACTTAATTGTTGTTGGGGTTATCTCAACTATATCTAGCTTGTGTTGTGCTCATATTAACATTTGCCTGACAAAGACTATGTGCATACTTTTCACCTTTTTTTGCTTGTGATGATCACTAAACACTTTTTGAGTTGTTGTATACAACTGACAAGTAATAACCACAGAAAAGACTTCACATTTACCATAACTGTGTGGAGTTTAAATTAGATATATACAGACTCCCATCTTAGTTTTTTAAAAATTCTATTTGTACATTATCTTGTTCTGGTCGGCTAGATCACTGTATGTCTTTCATTGGTAAAGACACTCTGAGTACAATATTTGTGAAATATACTTCTTTGGCATGGATTAAGAATGTTAAACGCACTGTGTATAATGTCTTAGCCAGCAAAGTTCTATTTTACAATAGAGGATGCGAAGAACTGCACAAAGCCAAGGCCCTGTAATGTGTTTTTTGGTCTTGATTATATTATTTGAGCAACATTTTAGTCTAGAGTGAAGTTATTTACTGTAATAAAAACCCTTGTACAACATTCTTTGACTGAGAGATGCTGCATCAAAGATGACATTGTAAAACCTGAGAAGTGCTTATGTCGTAGCATTTTAGCCGAGTCGTCAGTCTCAAATATGTATTGTTGAACATACTCCAGTGGACCAGAGTCAGCAGTCCACCTCCACCAGAAGGAGAAAGGACACTCTTTTGAGGACAGTGAAGTCCAGATCCTCTCCAGAGAACATCGCTGGTTTGAGAGAGGTGTTAAGGAAGCTATTTTCGTAAAAATAGAACACCCCTCTCTTAATAGGGGTGGTGGACTAAGACACAACTTGTCTTCCATCTACAACCCGGTT